ATTGCCGTTAGTCAATCTAGTTTTTCTCTAATGTTAATAGTAAATCTCTCAGTTGTGTTTCACATTTTGTTATCCAGAAGAATAAATTAAATACCAAGCAACAAAGTAAAATTGACTTCTGTATTTATACACCCACTTATTTCAATGTTTCAGACAGACTGCTTCATAATGAGCTGAAGATTAAAAGATTGCATTAAACTTTTCTGTTAATAATTTTGTGAAGATATATATAACTGTTCATATTGACAAGAAACAGCTATTTATAACACAGAAAAAAAATCCTGTGATCATTAAAGTCATCATCTTATTTCACTTTCTTCTTTTTTCTATTTTCCACAAAAATCTACACAGATTTAATCAGATAAGTCTTCAAGGTAAAATAATGACAGTTTAACAGAATTCAGAAATATTCTAACTAATGCTAAATGGAAAGTATAATCACTTGTTCTTAAAAATGTCATTCCTATTAGAGAAAAAAAAATCTTTTTGGGATGTATAAATACACATCCACGTTCATCTTCTATATAGATATTACTCTAGCTATATATATTACATTATACATATTTATTAACAGGTTAACTCCTAACTATTCTACTGCCTGTTGATAATTTTATTTTGACATTGCACAAGTCATGTCTTCTTTACCTGTCCATGACGTTAAAACACTAAATCCCTGGGATGTGTTTTAGTTGATTTTAGTCTCTGATGCATGATTTTTTATTATTAATTGTTTTTGGCTTTTAACTAACTTTCAGTAACTGCGGGTACTCTCAAATCGTACTTTCGTGTGAATTTGACCTGTTGACACAATTTGAATGTATTTTTGTTATTTAATGTTTACTTATTCAGTGTTATATCTAGTCTCACTTTTTTTAATATATACCACCTTTTTTTTTAATTAGCGTTTAGATTGACCATAAATTTTCACTTTTGTTCTCGTACTTGGAACAACAAAATCCTTTATTTTGTAAAAATTATTTCCGTACTTCATGTATACCTTACAACAAAATTATTTTTATTTACCTGTGTACGTTATTTTATTTGGCGGCATTTTGTCCAAGGTTATGGTTGACTTTCTGATATTGTTAAACATCTTACCCCCTTGTTTTATTAATTTTGTATGTACATTGTGTCATAGATCAAATTTATTCGTTCAGTATATGTTCACTTGTTTTTGTTAATATGTCTTTTGATGAGTTAAGCCATTTCAATTGATATTTTATAGTGTGTCTTTCTATGTTGTGATGTTACACTATTGTTTCAGGTAGGGTGAAAGTTGGAGCCTATTAAAACGTTTAAACCCGCTGCATTTGTTTGCACCTGTCCTAAGTCAGGAACCTGATGTTCAGCGGTTGTCGTTTGTTGATGTGGTTCGTAAGTGTTTCTCGTTTTTTATATAGATTAGACCGTTGGTTTTCCTGTTTGAATGGTTTTACACTAGTAATTTTTGGGGCCCTTTAAAGCTTGCTGTTTGGTGTGAGCCAAAGCTCCGTGTTGAAAGGCCGTACTTTGACCTATAATGGTTTACTTTTACAAATTGTGACTTGGATGGAGAGTTTTCTCATTGGCACTCATACCACATCTTCTTATATCTAATTACTCATAATGACTATAAATTGAAACTATACATGAGAACCTTTGATATGGTTTAAAAAGCTCTTAAATTTAGTTATAACCCATTGAAAACTCATTAACTCATGGATTAAGCTTACTCATAATTGTTATCAATAAAATTTTGTTTGAAGTTCTCTAAAAAATAAATAAAACAGGAGGATATATATAAAGACAACCATGTTGACTCCTTAGCTCCTGGCTTAGGGATAGGCAAATAAAATATGTCCCAGCTCTTAAATGCTCTTCCCTTCTGATCAGTTATGGTACTGGAATATAATTAATTCAACAATCTATGAAAGTGAACGGAAATGGACTGAATTGTGAAAAGAGTCGCAGATCTGTATACCTAGGTCAACAGCATTTAAGTTACCAACTTGAAAGTATTCTAAACAAGTAAAGCAAGCTAAAATGCAAGCTCAAAGGATAGGAGAAAACAGAAATTAGTCAGAAGAGACGAAATCATTTTATTTGATTTAATTGATAATGAAAAGGTACTTACAATCAAAACTTGTGAATAAACAGGAAGTTAATGATAACCACAAATGTTTATCTATGACCAATTATCTCAGCTATCATTATTCTCAAGGGAGATAACTTGTTAAGCAGGTGCTTTAATATCATTTTTAAATTACATGCAGTGTTTTACTTTAGTATGGACATGGATAAAAATCTCATTGGGTATAATAAGTTAACATATTATAAGTAAACTCCTCTGCGCATGTGCAATGTATTCATTTCACTAATGTATTATAGACTAATATCTTATTATAATCTAATAAACTAATATTCACCTAAGCATCTGTTTTTTTAAAGGGTGTTACTGTATTAATGACATATGCACCCAACACTTCCTTTTATTCTTATTTATAGATTTAACGATGATCGATGCTTTTCCTGTTGGTAAAATGAGTGACCTGACCATTAACTTTATGGGGATACTTTTTTGTGTTTCAACCTTTCTATATTAGTTGATGTTATTCACTATTCACTACTCACATAAATAAGCAAAGATTCAAAATTGACATATTCTGACACATAAATAAGTTGCCCAATTAAAATTAGTTGGTTTAAAGTATAATTATATATATGTGGAATGACATTAATTAAAAAAAAATGTTTTCCCCTAAACAAAACACAAGGGGGAGATGTCTCCCTTAAAATTTCTATATGGCGGACAGATATGCTCCTAGTCATTCAAAATCTATTTACTTTTCAACCCTGAGAGTGGCCGAATCAAGGTGGAATTTCCATTCAAGAAAATGATATTACTATTGTATAATCCTCATATTAACAATCTAGAATTTCAATTTGGTGCCAAAAAAATAAACCTTTTCATCAACATTCAAGGTGTATGAATATTTCATTATAAATTTATGGATATTCTAGATCTTCTAATCAGAAATAACACTTGTAACATTTTCCACAAGGTTTTCCAAAATTGTGTAAGATTTCTGATTTCTATTATGATAAGACAGGTATTTGACACCAAAGAAACTTAAAAATATCAACAAAGAGAAGATATGTTTCAATGTTGCACATTATTCTGCCAGATTTGTAGATGTTTTGATAAAGAAAGGTAGGATAGAAACTGTCTATAGGATGTGTAGCTACGTAGGATAAGTACCATTTCTTTTTATATTGGAAAGTTTAATTCATGTACATGTATTGCAAGTCTTTAATAACAATCAATACTGAAAAATATTTTAATGCAATATCTTTGCATTTTGTGGTACAATGGTTATGCATCATAAAAAAAAAGGTGAAAATTCTAAGTATAACATGTTCATTCAGTCAGATTTTTAATAAATTAATGATTAAATGATTATTAATAGAATGAGTCATCCTCCTTTTGAAACTCCTGCTACATATTTACAAAGCTTTGGTAAAGGTTTCTTTACAAGTATTGCCACTTCAAACTTCGAAGATTTCCAATGTATTTGTAATCAAAAGTTAGGACTGCATGAGTTACAATAACTAAGCTAATATAACATAAATTAACCTATAAAAATTTACTTATTCTGCAATCTAAACTGCATTCTGGTACCCTTATTATATTATTTATAAAGAGATAGCAGTCATACCAGTCATAATTATATGATGTAGCTACAGATGTTCAATGCATTCTCAACTAATGATACAGATATTTCATGTAAAACATCCATCCTGACATTGCTTCCTTCCAATCTCTGGTAATAACTGCATCTTCACATGCAACGGAATGCATTCTAATTGTGCTTCAAATCAACATTCTTATTATTACTGTTCATTGATTCCAGACAGTCTATTTTAAACTTACTAAACAATAAGGGTTTCACTCATTGTTGAAGGCTGTACCGTGACATCAGAATGCTTACATCTACATCATTTGGTCTCTGGAGGACAGTTGTCTCATTGGCAATCATAAATCATCTCCTTACTTTTATCTTTAGACAGTCCCCACCCTCCAATTTACCTATTTCTGTCTCAAAAGACAGACTTATGATGAAGAGAGCCAATGATTTCAACACAACTGGTACTATTAGACATGGAAAGACATTCAATCACAACATCAGATAAATTAAGAATGAATCATTGGTTGCATTTTCAAGTAACACATAGAAAACCTTTGCTTCAACAGGACTCACAGTGGAGGGGGTAAACATAGGTTCACAAGGCACTGACTTGTAATAGTTCAATCTCTGTCTTTAATAGTATTTTTTTTTATAGACAAGACACCTCTAGTGAAACAAGAATATGCTTACAACTGACAGGAACCCATGATTTCATTACAGATTAATGGTTTTACACTAGTAATTTTTGGGGCCCTTTATAGCTTGCTGTTCGGTGTGAGCCAATGCTCCGTGTTGAAGGCCGTATCTTGACCTATAATGGTTTACTTTTATAATTGTGACTTGGATGGAGAGTTGTCTCATTAGCACTCATACCACATCTTCCTATATCTATTGGAATTGAATTCATGGCACTCAATCTTTGGTTTTCTGTGTTATGTTTTGTTTGTCTTTGTATGGCATTACCTATAAAAATAAGAAGATGTGGTATGATTGCCAATGATAATTATACTCTCCACCAGAGACCAAATGACATAGAAATTAACAACTGTCCATCTATGGTTTCTGATGTCCCCTTTTGTCTCTTCTCTCTTTTTAAATTTTAGCAATATAAATTTACCACATCATGTCTTTCTGCTGTGTATAACCACAAACCAATTTACATGAAATCTTGAAGTCATATTATAATTGAAAGATTTGGTTGGACAATGTTGAATATTTTCAATCATGTTAAGGGTTATTTAATTTTCTTTTTTAACATCTTTCATGAAAATGGAATAAACAACAAGTTATAATACAATCTAAATACAAAGACTCAAATACATAGATCATATTTACCTTGAAGAAGAAATCAGAAGTTATATGTCCAACAGCAAAAAAAATGCAATCAATCGAAAATAATGTCTTACAACAGACTATGCCCTTTCCATCAACCCAAAAATTCAAAGGAAGTCAACTGCCACAGAAAAATTTGAGAAAGCCTGTTAACATCTGGTGAAGGAATCCTCCTGTACCATCACACTCAATCTTGTACCTCTACAATGACATAAAACTTAACAATAGTATAGTATGTAGATGTCTGTGATGTTTGGTGATATACATATGTATATATAGTTGTAAGTTCAAGCTAAATAGTCACTAAGTAGGGGATAGGTATGTATATATAATGGTCAAGGGATCATTACATTACATTGTCCTCAATGCTGTCATTTATTTTAGTCATTTCAATCTTTCTTGTCACATTTGTCCTGTATAGACCCATATAGATGATTTAACCTTTAGTCTCATATTAGATACCAAATGAAAAGCTTAAGATGGGGATTAAGTCTGTTATAGTGATGAAATTAAACAAAAATGTATACCAAACAATTAGCACAGCATTGAGTTACTTTCATTTGAATCCTCAACCTTTACGAAAACCATAGAATAAAAACACCATGTATATTATGAAAACAATGGAATAAACACCCAAATTAACAGATATACCTACCCATATGGTAGAGGACGTTAAATAAAAGTAATCTCTGTATAAAGTATTACTAGACAGCAACACTCATGAACTAATTGTGGGAGTATTTGATATAGCATATGCATTAATTGGTATCCTTAATGATTCACCAAATTTTGATCTATGTTAATTAGTCTTTTCACAGGTCACTGCTTGAAATAAATAATGAAATCCAAGGACAGAAGACAATTTTTTGCCAGAAAATAATCAAAATAAAGTCTCTGTTAGAATACTCAAAGAGACAATTTTTTTGCCAGAAAATAATCAAAATAAAGTCTCTGTTAGAGTACTCAAAGAGTTTGAGAAAACAATTATCTGTCTGCTTTTTAATAGTGTTTAATCATCCCTTTTCTTTCCATTCATACAATTTAATATTGGTCAGACTAGGTATTGGAGAAAACATTTAGAGTGTCCATACTTTCACTCGATCACAAAAACTGTTAGATCAGTACATACTGCCATATTTTTTTTTAAGACCACAAGAGAAAGTCTCAAACAGGTAGGCTTAGGTTATCTGTTCAGGGAAATGTCCACTGATGACAAAGATAACTTGGCCATGTAGATCTCTTAATAAAAGTGATGAATTTACTCAAATGAAAAAGTACATGACCAGACAATGACCTTACCTAACCTTGTCCATGTACAGTATACCTATAACAGTTTGTTTGAAGAATCTTACAACTATCTTTAATGGTAGGATAGTAAACAATGACAAAAAGATTATAATTTACATATTGAAGACAGAATTTAAAGATAGGTGTTTTATTACCTATTTTATTGCCAAGATGACAAGATCAGATTTAACTCTTCCTAATTTATATACTCTGTGTCCTTATTTAAACACATTATAAAGTTAAAAACAAGTGGCTTGTAAAAAGTCAGTCACTTGTATAAACAAATGGAGGTGTATTATTGTATAGAATGTCAAATAATTTTAGGAAAAGCTGCATGCAAAGATTGTTGTTTATACTGCTTGACCTTGACTTCTGATATTGTTAACTTCCATGAGTTCATAATAATCATCAAAATTATTACTGGCATGCCATGATATTCTGCTAACTTAATTTTTTTTCTAGCATTCCCTATTTAACCCTGCTTTTTTATGACCTTGAAATTTGACCTTTATGATTCACACTTAAAAGTTTCCACTGACAAAATTTTTCAGTTGTGGTACCCTCAAAATGTTCTGGACCAGGAGACTTTATCTTGTTCACTGAACAACTAAAGTCCAAATTGAAGTATTTTAAAAAGGAAATCCATCAATCTTCTAGGTCTTAGGATTATATGATATGTGGTTGGTCAAAAATGAAAAAAAAATCCCATTTTGAAACAGAAATATGTATATGCTCTTTCATGTTTCAGAAATATTCCAAATAACTTAAACACTGTAATCATACTAATACTTGATGCAGAAAGATGTTTTATCTTAACAAATTCCACCACTCTCTATCTTTATGACATAATTAAAATGACTTAAATGTCACAAAAACTCCAGAAATGTAAAATATGCAGAATGTTATGACCCAACCTCACTTTAATTTACTAGTCAAATTTAGAAATGTTCATACTTCAAATTTTATGAGTATTTAAAGGGGCACTAGCTATGAGATACATCAAAAATATAAAATACGATTTGTTTTGTTCAATCATAAATGAAAGTGAAATAGTGAAATAATAATTCACTTTTAGCAGCCAGTATGGTTCAATTTTGTCAAAATAAGCTAAGAAACATTGATGATGAATTATTCACTTGCAAGTGAATAATTCAACCTCATTGAATCTGTATTCATGTGAACTTCAATTTAACCCCTTAGCTAGAGATAGATAACGCATGAATCGTGCATGCTCAGTTATTTAAAGGAAAAGAATGTCAACATTGAAAGTGAAACAAAGGTAAATCATTCGATTGACTGATTCGATCCACAAAAATCATACTTATACAGGTAAAAACGATGATTAACATATATTTTTAATCTATAATATGAAATTAAACAGACCTAGAATATTCCAATTGCACGATTTCGCTTTTTATTTATATCTATATTTATGTTTATATCGCTTATATGGCCATCGGAGGTCATCGGGGGTCAACCTGATAGTTAATTAGATGGCCAGGCTAAAATACACACGAAACGAAGCTACATTTTTTCGAGCCAATGCCCTGTAAATTGATTATTTTAGACTTTTCATAATTTGGATAAATGTTTTACATTGTAATAAATCAAATATGAGAATTTGAGTCAAATCGGTGAACATGAATTTGACAGCTAGTGTCCCTTTAAGAATGAAATTCCCAATATAGTTTTTTCACATCCAAAATTAATCATTGTCAATACAATAATAAGTGAAATATTTTTGTAAAATATGATTTGCTGTTGCATTCTTCCATTACAAAAATCATTATTATTAAAATACAATATATAAAGAACTATGGAATACTTCTTCAACAAATATTATTCTTCATTCAAACTTAAATGCTCTCGTAACTATTTGTTTACATATATTATGGCATTAGAATTTTTTTTCTAAATGAAGAACATTTTATTTTACCAACAATGATAGTTTCCTGATCTATACTAATCATAATATGTCATAATTATTATTTGATAAAAAATTAGCTTGGAAAAAGAAGTTAATTTTCTACAAGGTATTTCTAAAGATGTATAAATTTTTCTAATACAGTTAAAAAATTCAATGTAACAATATAACAGTACATATTGTAGACAGCATACACAATTTCTGAAAATTTGACATTTTTTTAAATAAAAGTAATTTTTACCAAATTTGCTAGTTTTAAAGTAGTTTTGGAGTTATCTGTCAGTAATAATGTGCTTAGCTGTGAAACCGTAACTCTAATCATGGAAGTATTATATTGACAGGGTTCTAATGGTTCTTAGGATATTTTGCTGATGTCAGCACAAATCAGAAATAAGTACAGAACAAAACACCAGATCTGGATAAAACATTACTATTGTCTGTCCATTTGTATATCAATTAATATACAAATGGACAGACAATCAATTGGAATTAAGATATTCTAGGGTTCAATGTTCAATTTCTCCTTCCTTTTAGAATTCATTATATTTTACCTTCATTTGTATCCTTTCAATGGATTTATGAGACTGGATATTTTTTGTCATGGTATTGTCAGTTTGTCTTCGGACTTTTGATTTTGAATATATAACCCTTTGATATTTTCGGTCTATCTTTTTTTGAACGCTTTTTTTTTCATAGTAATATTTTTAAATGCATGAGGGCCATGGTAGAACAAATTTACTGATATTTTTTGTTTATTATGCGTTCCTTTATATGATATTATACATTTAGCTCGTACAAAAATTCAAATGTTTGAGTTCAAAAATCAATTTATATCTTGGGTAAAGTTTTACAGTGACAAATTCTAGGTTTAATATCGGGAATGTGCATGGACTTAAGTGCTGATGTAGTTTCCCCGTACACTAATAGTACAAAGGACTAAAATTGGAACTAATTTTTATACCTGCTTACAGAATCAGTTCAGATCGCATTAATCTTACTCATCTTCACAATAAACATTAACATCAATAAAAGAGTTAACAGAAATCATCATTTACAAATTTTATGTCATAGAAATCTCATGTCAAACTGCTATTAAGATATCAAATTTATAAAATAAAATGTTTATATTTGGTTAAAACAATCATAGAATATCTTAATGTCAACCGAGTTGTTTTTGAAGCCATTTCAAAATTCTGTCAATAAACTTTGAAAAAAGATGCTTTCTGTAATTCTGTCATGTTTATGGGACTCTTGATTTAAAAAAGAATTATTAACAGGACGAATAGGTGTTCGTGAGATTGATGGTTTGAGAATTTTTTATTTTAGTACTCTGTGGTTGTGAGTATGAACTCTGCAGATGGAAGGTGCATTCAACTCCAATCATAATTACTAGGACTGACAGTTTTAGTATTGAAGGTCTTGGTTCTCTCAGCATTCCAGTTACCTCCAACAATAAAAAGTAGCCGCCACGACATAACCAACAGTGATGAAAGTGGCGTTAAATGCAAACAATCAATCATAATTTTTATTCAACCGCAAAAAATTTTTGCAGTCGTATATTGGTATGACGTTGGCGTCGTCGTCGTCCGAAGACGCATTGGTTTTCGCACAATAACTTTAATTTAAGTGAATGGATCTCTATGAAATTTTACCATATGGTTCAATACCACAAAAGAAAGGTAGGGATTGATTTTGGGGGTTATGGTACCAACAGTTAAGGAATTAGCCAAAAAGGGGCCAAAAATAAGCATTTCAATACAGCATAGTGCGTTGCACAAAAGCAAAAAAATTGAATATAAATTCAAATCATATAACCAATTCTAAGTTCTTTGACTACAGTTTTTCGGTGTCAGAAACCTATTATGAGTCAAATATTTAATTAGAATCCAAATTCAGGCCTGTATCAAGTGCGAATATTGTGTCCATTTTCGCCCCAACTGTTCAGAGTTGGACCTCTGCGGTCGTATCCAGCTGCGCTCAGCGAAGCATT